CGCTAAGTTCGAAAGCAAGGAATAGCAATAGCCAAAAACTTATGAAGTTAGTGGAGTTGATAAAACATTAGTATAAATTATTAAATATATTTCGTGTTTGCCCAAATTGCTACAGATGGAGTGATATTATTTACCATTAAAGGAGATTGCACCAAGGCACATGGGTAAGGTCAAATGCAGGTATTGTTGGTATTTTGGTGACGTAGGCAATTATAAGTTCAATGCTTTTATAACTTAAAAAAAATATGTTGATATCGCAAAGATAGGACCGTGTGAAGCTTGTAGAGTAACGCAGACGTGCTATGAAAGAACAGGTCACGTAACGGAGTGTGATTTCATGGATAACATGCTAAATATCGGACGGGCATTTTACAGGGGAAAATCAATACATGAACAACAAACTTGCGACTAACAGATATCGGATAGGAGGCGGAAAGACATTGTCCACCGACGAATCCACCGACTTCGGTACTACACTTAGGCTAAGCTAATCTATTTTTCAATTATATGTTCCTTTTTATTATTTGAATGCACTTAAGCATAGTTATCTTGTTTTCTTATTGATAAGGTTAATCGTAGGTTTGTATTTTATCAAAAACGAATGTGGGACAATTCGAAGTAGATCAGACGAGGTATTTTGAATGTGACGAATCGATAGATTGGCAATGCCAATTCGTTATACAAAGCAAAGGTCTAGGGTAGAACAAGATTGGACTGCCTCCTCCTTCTTGTCCGAACCATCGATTAGTGAACATTATAGCTAGGAAATTCTAATCCGTTGAAATCCGTGGGGATTGTACGGTGAGGGTCCATCTGTAGCATGCTAAGCAGCTCAAAGTGCTCTTAACGTTATCTGACTAGCTCGCCGAAATTGGAGGGTTCATGAAAGTGATTTTGCCCTATAGAATCTTTATAAATTTTTAAGATGTAAGTGGATGTGTAGTGAATGTGAGTGTGTTAAGCGTTCACTTACTTCACGAGCCTATTGAAATATTGTGACCGTATTACCAGCGGGTGGAATCTTAACAAAAGCGCCCTCCTTGAAACTGTACACTACAAAATTGAGAACCACATTAGTATTGGTGGGCGTTAGAACTTTGGTTATTTCTTCGCCAAGTTCAGCTTCTGTCAGCTCTAATTGATCGTCCGGTTTAAGTAGTTGACGCGACTTAATCCAGGCATCAAGGTCATCAGCATCACCAGCTCCTTCTCCTCCCGGAGATTTTCCTTTACCAGCTCCCGTTTTCGCCAACTTTGCAACAGATTTGTCTTTAGGCGTTAGTTTGTCACCACCGGCAATCTTTACAGTTTTGTCAGCGATTGTGGTTTTTGAAGATTTATCGTTCGGTAGAGTGATTTTGGCTTTCTTTTCCGTCTTTTCCATTTTTGATAATTGACGTAGTGTTTTAATTTGATGACAAACTTATATTCAATGGCGTTGGATTCTTTTAGTGAAGATGATGAAAAAAACAAACTCGAAACCAAATAGTTGCGATAGCAGTCTTGCTGGGTTAAGTTAAAAATTTTTGCAGTTTTGCGTTCCCAACATCAAAGAAAACTTGAAATCAAAAAAAAAATAAATCCAACGCCTACTTGTTTTCCTACACATTCAGACCACTTTGTTAAAGAGTTGACTGTCCATATTGACCAAGAAAAGGGGGTGATAGGCGAGAAGTTATTCAACACATTTAGAGAATACATAAATAATGATTACGTCATAGAAGTTAAGAAATTACAAAATAAAAGAATATTGTAATGTTAAGAGAGGCAAAGAGTGGAGTTATTTCTGAAACGCTTGATTTAACTATAGGTAAGAGTGTCTAGGAATAGCCGCTGCGGCTTACCTCAGCATTATTTCAATAGTTAAGTTTTAATTTTTTCAAATAGGCAAAGTATCAAACTTCACAACATATATGTTAATTATTCCTCTCCTTTTATTCTGTAGCATTTAATTTCTGTGGTGCTAGCTGCAAGCTAAAGCAGGGCAAACATTTTTTTGGGTCAAACTGTAAACGGGTTCTTGGAAAGCCGCACCATAATCTATTGCAGAGGTAGTTATAAATGAAATGTCTTTAGAAAAAGCGACGGAATAACCGTAAGAACTGATGAAACTCTGCGATAGGTTAAAAGCCAATATGAGAATTAAACAAACTACAATATAAGTTGAACATTGTAAAAAAAAAATTATTAATTTCGACATCGTAGAATTTAGGGTTAGTAAATCTACCAACGGGAAATGACTAGCTGAAAGAATAATTGCTAAGGCTGTGAAAGGAAAATTAACAATGTAAAGATGGGTGACAAAGAAAGAAAGGAGGTATCATTTGATAAACAATGTTGTGTTCTGTGCGGTAAAAGAAATTCGCGTAAATTAATCTACGTTTTTAGTAAAAAAAAAAAAAACAGATTGTGCGAAAAAGCCCCATAAAATTCTTATTACTATACTAAAGAGGGGAAACCGCAATTTTTCATTCGGGTTTGTATTAGACATTATGGGAAGAGCATAATTGTGCAAAATGAATAAGTTTTAAGGCTAGGATTAATGATTGTCCAAAAGACAAGACAAATGTGAATTAAATCTTATTGAAGTCAACAAATATGAAGTATGACGCCACTGATGATGAAGCCATGTACTTATTTGCATTTAGTGTTGCGATGTCACAAATAGTTTAACATAATTGCAACTGCATCCGAGAATGCGAACACACGACACGCATTCTATACAAGACGCAATCAAAGACAAAAACATAAAGTATCAGAAATTGATGACGTCTGAAATAAGCAATTTGCAGTTACATGTAAGAATCAGAAGTTAAAAGTCGGATAAGAGTAACAATTGGAATCTCTTATCATCATGTTCTACAGAATTAATAGAAAAAAGGAATTATGAAGTGAAAAATAGCAAAAGATTATAGATAGTAATGGTCAATATCTACTTGATTAAAATTGATTTTCAGTGAAAAAATATTTATACAAAAAGGTACCAATAAACCGCTGAGACTTTTTACATGGCCCAAAAAAAAAAAAAAAGAAAATATCTCTAATACAAAGCAAAGAGCGATAAGCTCATCTTATGAAAAAACTATTAAACGCTACACCAATAGCAGATGTATTAATAATATATTAAAAGATAACTGTACTGTCCCATTAAAATAACCTACTTTAGTGAAATTAGTAATACACTACTTTAATAATCTAAATTAACTATTTTTCTTAAGGTAATACTTTTTAAATATAAGAAACTGACCACAGTTCAGTGCACATACAGAAAGAGAAACAAGTGAATAAACAAAACAAGTCAATAAACAAATTGCTGAAAACATTAACAACAGGGATGTCATTATGTTTCACTATAGCTGAACTGGATATTAAAGATCTTACAGAATATAAGATAACGGAAAAGTAACGATTCAAATAAAATATGAACAAAATAGCAAATGTTTTGAACAAGATTGCCTTAGAATTGAATATTCAGAGTTGCACAGGAAAAAAAAAACAAAATAAAATCTAAAGAAAACTAATTTACCTACGAAAAGAAAAAACAAAAAAGTTTAATCTTGTGAAAAATAAGGAAAACGTTGTTAAATAATATTAACAAATACTTTGCTCACTTTTGGTGAAAAAAGAAATCCAATAATATTCATTGCAAATGTAGATGCGTTAGTTTACACGAAGTTTTTTTAAAAAAACATAGATAACGTTCTTATTCATTTTTGAAGGCCGCTAGCACGGGAGAATAGCTCTAACTTGTGACTCATCCTGAAGCTAGTATCGCTTCACACTGTTGGTTTAGAGTGGTTAAGCATCACTCTACTGAACACTGTAATTAACCATAAACCATTCTCACAGGACTGCCAACACACACTCTGCAATAAACATTTCTTTTAATTTAATAATTACGCTAAGTTTTGACTGTCAATAATTGGTTAACCCAGAGGTTTCCCTTATTGCGAAATAATTTTATAAAATTAGTTCAAGTTGGTTATAGTACATAACCATAACCAAGATAAGTTTAGAGATAGGAAGAACGCACAAGCAGAGAGCAAGCGCTTAAATGACATCGCCAATAAATATAATACATACATATGGTAGAATGTAGTCGCTCGTTCAACAAAAGTAGCACATCCTCTCGATAAATCTTCAAGTTAAATTCGAGTTTAACATTGATTTAAATAGACCTAAATTTAAGCTTTAAATCTATTCAAATAAAAATAAATATGTTAAATTAAAAATAAAACCGAAAAGGTACTAAGTCATCTAACTTATACAAGCAGGAGTGACCGTTTTCTGGATGTTTAGTAAATATTTCTTCCTCACATGTTGCCTGGTTAAAAAGTGTTCAGATATATTTTCATTTTTAATCGTAGATACGAAACGTTAAGTGTAGATAAAGCAGGTTACTCCAATTTATCAAGGAAACTTTTGACGTAAATGATTCAATTAAAAATGTGTTCACTGCGTAACATTTATTATTCCTACAAAACATATAATGAATTGTGCTTTCGTAAAAGCGATTTTATTAAATGCGTTTCTGAAATACTTTCATACTAAAATGGAAAAGCTCCATGATTTTGGTCGCCTTTTTACAAGTTGAAGTCGAACACCAGTCGAAGCCAAACAAGGCACTTCAAAAAAAAGCCGCCTACTTAAAGAGATCTCTTCCACTGTTGCAGACATTATTATCCCCAAATGAAACGTAGACAGCCGCTACTCCCTCCTTGTCCTCTCCTTTACTTAAAATCCTTCCCGACTATTACCACGAATAAAATTGTGTTCTCAAGTTTCATCATCCTCTTCATCATCAGATATACGCCACATCTCATCATAAGCGGACACCAGAGGCCAACAACAACCAACACAGAGAGGACCACGGCGTCATTTAGGGAGCAACAGCAGCAACAATTATAGTCAGATATTTATCTTTCTTTTTTTCTGTGTCCCGACTTCCCAGTGAGCCACATGGAGCGGCATAAAATATTTTCTCTTTTTGTGTTTCTTTCTCTTTCTCTTTCTTTGTAATGCGGCTCAGAAAGTTAAGCTCTTCAATGAATTTGCTCTACCGGACTGCAGAGCTAGAACCGTTACAAAGATTGGTTAGCAGTCCGCCGGCTCTTGTTTGCAACGAACTCAAAAACAACTGCGACATGCCAAAAACTATTGCAGTCTCTTTCGAATTTTGTAATTTACAAAAAACATTATCAACAATGGGCGACCCCAAAGAAAAAAGCACAAGACGAGATGCACAATAGCGAAGCGAAGTCATCACATCATTGAGCCATACCCAGTAGAACAAGGATATTTCAGCACAAGTGAATCCAGCAACTTCAATCAAGATACTCTAGTCCTGAAAGTTGGACCCGGAACTATAGTTCGTTCAAGTGGATGCAGTCCTCCAAGTGAACAAGATAACAGTGGCTGAAACAAAATTCGACCAGATCCTCAGCAACATGGACCTCACAACCTTACAATTCGTGTCGCAGGTAATACTAAATCCGCCACACGGGCATTACAAATATGAACCCCTCAACTCGAAAATAATAACTACGTTTGCCTAGTCCGAAGAAAGGAAATTGCGCCGCTTGCTATCCACTCATGTAATTGGTGAGCAAAAGCCAGCTCATTTCCTGCGATTTATTAATAATACAGCGACACATCGCTTTTAGCTTCAATTGCCCCAATTAATTATAAGAACGAGATATTTCCGAAGATAGATGCGTTGGAAATACGCTTTCCAACTTTACGTTCAAGATCTTCCATGCCTCCATTTCGAAAACAACAATTCTGAAATTCGAAAGAGCGATTCTGAATTTCGTTCTTATAATTGGGTACAGTCCTGGTATCACAACAGGTTCGATAATAAGACACAAAAATCTATTTTGCTTGAGTGAAAAGAAGCAAAAGTAAGCTGCTAATCAATGCAAATACAATTTATATAAATTATTTTATAAAGAACGCATCTGTGGTAATTGAGCTTCTAATGCATACAAACACAAAACACAAAATGTTGCAACGGTTTCACATCCATATTTTCAAAGCCAAAATGAAGTTAGTATGCTATAGAAGTTTTAATTGATGCCGATCGATTCTTTTTTAGTATTTTCTATAACAACAACGATGGTCTGATATTAAATTTCAGAACTTCCTAGTTTGGACTTGAGCTTATATTATGGTTTTTTCTTAAAAATTGTTATTATTTCGCTCTATTTTATTTTGTTACTTCTAAATTTTGTATGACTATATGCTTTTGGCGTTGTTTACATATTGCTGCTTACTTTTAAACAAATTAACGTCAAGCTTATCTCCCGCATTTCCCTTTCATTTTTTCAAAATAAATAACAGAAAGAAAGCTATGACGATAGTAATTCAAAGAAAAAGGAATTATCTTTCTTTTGTCATAGAAACGACCAAAAGTTAATAAACAGTGCATAATCAGTGCTATAACTGTAGTAACTTTAATTTCTTGGTTCTAAAAGTAGTTCTTTTTGATGAGATCAATTAATTTCTATTCACTACACACACCGCTACATTACGTTTAATTTTAACCACGATCTCTTAAGTGAAATTAAGAACAACAACAAATAGGCGAAGAGAACTCTCTGCCGCTGACCAAAAACGTATACCCTTTACAACGTCTTTGATGCATATTTCTTGAAATGAATCTGATATGGAATCGCAAAAATATTCTCGTTAGTTTTAACTGCAAAAGTTCTACCTAAAAAAAAAAGAACATGGTAACGTTTTCCGCTGGAGAAATGGAGAATATTTTGTACGATCTCCGATAAACCTTTCTGCACATAGCAGATGTCTTGCGATGTAAAAATCTGCTTAAATATTAAAACTTAACATTAATCATTTAAACTATTTCGGGGAAACTGTTTGTGGATTTCCAACTTAGTTAGATATCTTAGTTGTAATACAATTTTTTTTTTTTTTTTAATGAAATGAAATAACTTTTGCTTATTACACTCACCGCTACATTATTAATATAATATGTTTTTATTGCACAACATTTTGACCGCTTCGAAAATTAGTTACTGTTACGCCGTATTGTAGCTGTGCTTGATGAAAATTCGATGACGCTTTTTGCCAGCTTTCATTCGCATAGTAATTTATCTGAAATTGTAAGAATTAAATCTTGTGAACTGGTATGAAGAAAATAATATTTTTAAAATCATTTAAAGGAAAAAAAATGGGTCTAGATATGAGAGATGATTGCGAGGTAAACTACTTTCATCCTTTCTATATTCATTTTAGACACGTCGAACTACATTAATCCATAAATAGCGTAATGCAAATTTTATGCAGCACTACTGAAGAAATGAAATTTGACAAGAGACTTACAACAAACCTACGTTTCCAAATAAGTGCTGTTCGGGAAAGCTGAACAATTCCATCTAACAGCAATTTCAATTGTGAAAGAAAGGAGATTTAGATGATCGTAGTTGTAATTGCCGCTGACGTTATCGGAATGTTAAAAAGGGTAGCGAGCAATCCGGGATCATCTTCAAAACTAAGTTAATAGTAGGCGCTGTGTTTTCCTTCCGGAAACATTTGCAAATATAGAAGTGTATTTAGGGAATGAAAGGACGAAAGCCGTAGTGCTGTCTGAATAGAACCTTTGGGTTGTCTTTCTCATACGACGACGTTGGTTTTCCGAATAGTATGCTTTTGCAATTTGCACCTTCTGCAAATGTAAATTAAAAGTTGATTTTAGAGAGCCATCCGTGTTTATGCGAACCGCGCCCATATTGCAATGCGCTACTCCAACGGTATTTAACAATATAGCAACCAGCTGCTACTCTAAATTGACATGTATAAGTTTTCGTCAATGTTTCTCTAATAAAATCTTTAGATTTTCTTTTCGTGAGACAACGCTAGTTTGTGTAGTAATGTGTGTACTAATGCAAATCCTTAGATTACCTTTCCTGTGAAACATTGTATGCCTTTCGAAATACGAAATTTGAATGGTTGATTGGAGGGTTGTAACACCGCCTTGGGGAATACGAAAACCGTAAATTTTTAGAAACCGTTCTCCTGGGGATACCATATTGATTTTAGATCCTTGCACTACAATCTACTAGATTTAGCTTTCGGATTATAACTGAACCCTTATTTTCAGCTTTCTTCACTATTGCTTCAATTAGTCCTTTGGTTTTTACTCTCAGTTAGTCTAAAGTTTCAACATATGTTCTAGTAGACGTAAATAATTTAAAATATTATCTGGAGAGCTGACCAACTAAGCTTCTAAAATAAATCATAAGCACATGCCTTCATATACCCCGCCAACTACAGCCATCGAATGATTTTCGTTTTTACAAAGATAAATGAACGATTTACTTACCTCCGTTTCCAAAATCAGTATGTACAAAGTGACATCTATATAGTCACATGTCGTCTTTAGGCTAAATTTTTTTTCTCTTATTTTTCGCGATATATTTTTCTTTTAATTCTCATAAATTAACATTTAATTAATTTGTTGGAACTATTTGTCTTAAAGCTGCGTAACCAACTCACAGTTCATATCCCACAAAAAAGTCCCAACTCGATAAAATAAGTATAACAAGATGTAGTTTTGAACAAGGCACTAACAGATTTGAGCCTGCTTCATGCGCCGGTGTACAACTTTGCCTTGGTGAACTGAAAGATTATCTCACTGAACTCGCCGATAGTTGTGTTAATGAAGACATTCTCCAGCATACACAAACGTTAGCGAAGTTATTCACGTTGCTGCTGTAAAGCATTTTGGAAAGTGTGAAGTGAGCACTTGGAGTTGGCATTGGCAATACATACATTTTTTCCATTGTCACTCCAAAGCCAATCTTTCATTGAAGTAAAATTTTGTAATTACGCTGCAAAAAAACCAAGCAGAACACAATTACGAAAATAATTTACAAAGCTGATAAATTGAGCCACTGAAATGAATCGTAATTAAATACTAGTGTAACACAAATAGCCTTAACCTAAGCACTAGAAATGGCCTATGGAGTTTTATATTTCGATTCCCCTGGCATCTGCTCTTAATATACCGCAAGGGATTTAATCTTCGCTGCGCGCATCTCAATTTTTGCAAAAAAAAAAAAAAAAAAAGATTGACGATTTGCTTACTCCCCCTTTAAAAATCTATTTGTACCAAAGTGACATCTATAGAGCCGCATGCCTTTTTGCACATTTTCCTATGATTTGAGGCTTTGTTCATACGTTTTGGCTTAAAACCTATTGTTAATATATTGTACAGAACAATTCTGCAGTTGTTTAAGAACAATTCGAGTATTTTCTTACCTTTATATTTAAAAGCAAAAATGTGATATCTAAATAGCCGTCGTCGCCTTTTATCACTTACACACTTTTAGTTTAATTTTTTTGCCGCAATTTCTACCGAATTGTGCTTCTATTTTGTGCTCTTTCTCATAATTACTATTAATGCCGGGTTGTCGCTTTGAGTAGAGTTACCAAGACATTCCTTTAACGAACTTAGCTAATAGCTACTGAATTTTCATTCCGTTCCGTAATCAATACTTACAATAGAAGTACCATTTCTTAAGGACTGATGTTAATGGACCAAGAGCGAAGGCGATAGCAAGCACTTGTATTATATTAAAATTCTTTGCTACCTTTCCTTTTTCAATTACTGTTCGCCTCGCATAGAGTTGCCAAATTTTCTTAATTGCAAATGAGTTTTCATCGGTATTACAAGATAACGTGACAAAGTTTCAACCTCAGTACATTGCTGTGAAAGTGTCCATTGTGAAACGAATAACTTTACTGAAGCATTTGCGAAAGAGATAATAAGCACAAAGATAGATTTAACTTTTTATTTAAAAAACAAGCCAAATAATAGGATTATTCTACGTCGTTATTTTCTTCTTCTTTTTTTCTATTTGAAAGTCTTAATTTGTATATCCTTATTGCATTAAACAGTTTCGAAGAATTTTTGTTTATTTTAATATGTCTCTGTCAGTAAAAATCGGAGAACTTCTTTAGAAATTTCCGGAAAGCAATTGTGAATTATGAATTTCTTAGTTTTTGTGTGTCGTAGACATATGTGCCCGCCATATATAAAGTGAACAAATGTTTTATTTCGCCAAAATGATGAAAACTATTGAAATTCTTGCAAATTGCGCTACGAATTTTTATAGTTTTTCATAAATATATTCTTTTTAATTTATATTCCCAGAGTGAGTTTTATGTAATTGTATATAAAAGCTTCAAGGAAATTTACGTAAAGATACGACAATACTACGATATGCATACTTTCAATTAACCGGGAATATCGTAAAAATATATCCCAACGATTATGTTGTTATCCGTGGATTTGACGTTATTATATATATTATTGTATGTGTATTCGATTTGTCAAATGTTTATAATTATATATATATATTTGTACCTTGAATAGACTGACTGATTCTGCTATATGCATTTATTTCTGTTGAAATAACCGTTAGGACTATCCATTGCTATCTTTACGCTATGATTCTCTGACGAAAATACTGAAAAGTTTGTGTAAAAAACAAACCTGCTTTCGTTGAGTACGGATATCAGCACGATGAGCAAATAGGAAAGGATTGATTTTTAATGCGTTTTGCAGATGCTCTACTCAATCTGAGATATTTATTATGTCATAAATTTCTTACGAATGTCCGATAGAAACAAACATATAAATAAGCTTTTCCAACTTCAAAATAAAACAAGACTTTAATGTATTTTATAATTTCTTTACGCAATTTAATCAATTTTTTAATAAATTGTACATTTTCTTTATAAATGTCTTATAGCAATAAACTGTTTAAAAAACAAAAAAATTTTTGTGTTTTTTATGATATTTCTTAATGTGATAGCTTTACAATTTATTTCTAGATAGAATTCAATCGTTTCTTTTAGTTTTGTACTCTTTGTGATAAAAATAAAAAAGTAATTTGAGATATTACAAAAATTTGTTAGGATTTAATTTTAGTTTACTGCAGTTTTCAATTTACAATATCTTTTGGACCAAAACAATATAAAAACTTTGTACAGTAAATTTTAGACAAATCGATTTATTAAACTTACTTTACTATGTGTGATACAAAGTTATCAGTACTGTTGAAAATATATATAGTTCATTTTTCTATTGTTCCAATTTACAGTGAACCTATTGAAAACAACACATGATGTTTCGTACATTTCGCTTGTTATATCTTAAGTTAAGTAACTTTAATGGCTATCAAAATAAAATTGAATAAGTAAACACTTATGTTTTTTTCTCGATAAATAAAAAAACTTTGCTCGCTGTTACATGTTACCTCAGACGGCGTTTATATAATTTTACACATACTTGATCAAATATATGTCGAAAACTTCTAATTTATGATAAAACAATTTAATAAAAATCTTTGTTTTAGTTTAAGAAACATCTAAACATAATCTTAAGAAAAGGTTAGGAAAAATTGTTACGTATGGAAGAAAACTATCTACTTATATAATTTAGTTATTATACTGATCCATTTTACAGTACTTTTATATTGTTAACAGTAACTCTCAATATAATACAGGTGGTTTCATTTTGTCTACGCATCTTTGTAGCTGTAAACGAAGCATGGCGGGTTAGAAAACCTACCCACCTGTTTATAATATGCACCAAAGAACTCATGAAAATATACCTTTTTAATTTTTATTCTTTCAAGAATTTTTTTCCTTTCCTCATTTCCGACTTCGAAAACGAGTAATTTAACTTGTTTTGATTATTTTAAGTTATTTGTATAATCATTACTTTACATTGGAAGGTAAGAAGCACAAATCAAAATAATTACAAAGCCCTTACCGATACAAACAAGACGATTTCAAATAAAACAATTACAAAATCTGTTTTAGAAAACGAAATGTGCTTCTAAATTATCAGAAAGAGAGTAGACGCAGTACTGAATAGCACCTATTGAATGCTGCATAGACACCTCTTGGAGCAAACGCTTTTTCTTCCTGCCTACTTCTAAGTTATATATTTACATACTTAGCTTAGGTTAAAAGTCCATGAAAGAAGAGAGAAAGACGTATATTGCGAAAGTTCGAAAGCGTGGACGAAGAAATTGAGAGAGAGAGAGAGAGACGTATTAGACTAGAGTATGAGGGAGCTTCACAACAATCCCACAAAAATTAAATAAAACGTTAAAAAACAAAACAGTTGTGAAATTAGAAAGCACAATTCGTAATATTACGCGGACAATCTTAGGCAAAGAGGGCTATAAGGTTTGAAGTATGTAGCTAACATACTTCGGATGTGATCTTTAATCGATGGAATCGAGGGGAAAAAAATTTCACTTCCCACGCCTTCTGGATCTAACCGTCATGCGAACAACACTCTTCAGTAGCAAAAATATATCCATAATCGTCTTCGCCGGGCATCCTACGTACGAATGGTGTGACGGACAGTAATACGCTTTGATTAACTGATAGAGACGAATGGCTTTTTGGAAGGCAATTTCATTGCATCCATTTTAACATTAAAGGGCTGCTAGGCGAGTTTATACACATCTGCTTCAAAGTACCAAAGGATTCTTTACATTGGTCAAGTTAAGCCGCGAACACCATAGAAATAAATGGGACTCTTAGCCTGGCAAATATTGCTACGTTGTTTCTGGATGGTGCTTAAGCGCTGCAACAATTAGGACATTATAAAAATTAACAAAATGTCGGGTGTCCACCCGAAATTCTTGAATTTTATTGCAATTATCGCAAATAAAGTACGTAATTGCTACGATGAAAAGAAAAACAAAAAACTAAATAAAATTTTTGATTTCTACCTGTAAGTATGTATATCGCATTTTTAATTTATAAACTTTTCATCTAGTCACATATGTTCTTTCACTGTTGCCTAGCCCTTGAAGTTCTCGTTATTGCTTTGTACTCATAATATTTAATATTCCTACTGGGAATGTATTGCGAGGTCCCAAAGTCGTCCCTCGGTTTGGTCTCACGGGTTCTCCGTCTCTGGTGAGGGGAGGGTAGTACTAGGGTTAAGTTAGCAATAGCGTAGGTTAAGATGGTAGTAAGAATAGGATAGCGATACGGATAGATTAAGATAGAAATAACATAGAATAGAATAGATTCAGATAGAAATACGAATAGAGTAAGATAGATTAATGTAACAGTCGGGTTAGACTAAGATAGCGATAAGGATAGGTTAAGATAGAGATAACATAGAATAGAATAGATTAAGGTAGCTGTAGGGATAGGTTAAGCTTGAAGTTGAGTTGGGCAGTCTGGTCTAGACTCTTGTGGAGGAGAGTCACGTTCTGAGAGGTGATCGCGGGTAGTTAAAGAAAATTGAAATAAAAGTTTATGGACAATTGAAATAGAACCAAGCCCCTGTGAATATAAATTTTCTTGTGTTTTTTCTTCTCCCTGGGCCGCTGAGCTGCCTCCGCCGTAGGAAAGGGACAAAACGTCCTCGCAGTATTTATTATCATCAAACTAATTTTATCAAAAGATGGAGCATACATTCTTTGTCTCTCTGTCTGCCTACTTTAACTTATTTCTTAAAAAAAAATTTATTTTCTTTTAATTTCATCGTCACTATAATTTTAATCTTTTCATTAGATCGATCTTTAAATGGTTATTAGTTATTAAAATTGTCAAAACGTGCATAATCCGCAAAGGCCGCAATACGAAATCTGTAAACGTTGAAAGAGTTCTCTTTAAAATGTGGTGGAGGTGAGCTCCAATATTATTAACATTGCTCGAAAATAGACAATGCAAAAAATAAACGGTATTACACAAGCTGGGATTATTCTGATCAAAGTATCAGGAAGCAAGCCAACGTTACATTTGGATAAAATGCATTAGCAGATAGAGCGCACTGCTTTGTGTAATACCCCAATTGAGCTAGGAAACGATTGCAATAAACGAGCCACCTCAAAACTGACGATGGAAAATTAAAAAAAATATGCAAAAAGCGATGAACGATATCACATCTCTGTAAAACAGTGTGAACGATATTATATCTACCATCAAAACGAGGTGACTTCCTTCAAAAAAAAGTTTCGAGCGTTGTAACATTCGACTTTCGATTATAACATTAGTCACAAATACAACCGTATAATATTGTAAAAGGGATGATTGGTAAATTCGCAGAAGTGAAATGACGACTAACAAAAATAATTGCACTGTGTAGAAAAATTTACTAACTATGCGTATCGACGAAGTTATAAAACATTCCCTATAAATGAAAGTAGTATATTATTGAAACAAAAAAATAGAGTAAAGTAATTGTTCTTTTTATACATAGATACATGTACCATTAAGAAAATTATGAACTTCGCAAATGGAAATCAAAATAAAAATAACACATATTACGCGTTGAATCAACGTTATGCGTTAAGTATACATCCTATGAGTTTATGTTTCTTGTTTGTTTTTATAAATACCTACATGTACCGTTGTTAGTGT